TAATTATAATTTGTATCTAATTAAAAATATCTGATTTTTGAAAATTAAAACTTGAAATCTGATTTTGAAAAATAGATCTTGAAAAGTAGGGAATTAGGTAATTTGCACTTAATAAAATATTCCCTTGATGTCTTTATTGAGGATCATCAACAAAAAGTGAACTACAAACCAATCAACCCAACCTAACCCAACTCGATCTGATCGATCTTGATTGGGTTGTGTTTGGTTGAGTTGAGTTAATTTTATATCAAATCGAATATATTGGGTTGAGTTTGGATGGGTTGAGTAAAAACCCAACCCACGCCTACTCTCGCCCACCTTCACCCACAAGAGACAAATAGAAAATTAACAATAAAGTAAAGAGACTGATTTTGAACTATTAGAAAATAGAGTTCAATTTGGAACAAGAGATATATTGAAACACCAGTAATGGAATGTATGCAAAGCTCAAAAAGGGTATTTTGAAGCAACTTCGGAGTTTCTAAATTACACTAAAGAAATGCTGCTGAATTGAGGGAGACCCATTGTGAATTTCTAGAAATATTTGTGGCTTTTCTGACACAATTTCATATTATAGGGATCTCCTTGATATTTCCCCTGAAATCTAATTTCCTCGACCTCAAAAAACGAAAAAAAATAAAAATTAACAAATAAATCAAGAGAAGAAATGATTGGTCATAAAAACAGTTGAAAAAACGACCAGACGAGAAACAGCGAACAAAAATGGCTGCACTACCACCCTCCTCTCTGCAATTCTCTACATCAAACCCAATATTTTCACAGAACACGCGCGTAAATCCTTCGTCCAAATTCCACGCGCCTCCACCGGGAAACCACTCTTTCATTCCACGCGCCGCCACAGAAGAAGACTCGTCCACTTCCTCAGAAACCTCTGCCGACGTAGATGGCAACTTCGAGGACCGGCTCTCCCAGGTCCGCCTCCGCTACCGGAGCGGAACGGGAAAGAAAGCCGAGCTCCGCAAGACTCGGAAGGGTAAGAAAACCGGATCCGGGTCGAGTATATACCTTCCGCCCGTGACACTAAAGGAGCCGGTTTCAGAAGGGTTGAATGTGGAATTCGGGTTCAGCCCATTTTCGGAGCGGGTCAATGGACGAATTGCCATTCTTGGACTATCCGCTTTGTTCTTGGTGGAGCTTGCTACAGGAAAAGGTGTTGTAAATTATCATTCACCTTCTATTGTTCTAATTCAGGTTTATTTTATGGCTGCAGTTTCTGCATTGTATTTGAAGTATGAGAAAGAAAAAGTTAGTGTATGGCCTGAGAAATGATATGTTGGAGCTTTGATGGATAGAATCGCTCGTTTAAACTTTTGGTTATGATATCGTATTGAAGATATAAAATTTTCTTGTTATATTTGACAATTTTATTAACTTGTAGGCTATCAAGAAAAAGAGCTGGTACATGAAAATGTTTTGTAATGAAATTTTGTGCCACTTTTTATTGAGTGTACATGAATATTTGACGCAGGTACAATCTTGCTGCTAAGAAAATGCAATTGGATTTTGTTTGCTACCCTTATTGATGATCCATTATTATTTCAGTAAATTTGTAGTTTGCATGATGATGAAAAGAATACCATGTTTCGACTTTCGAATATGGTGATCTGTAATGGAGTTGTACAAGAAAAGAGTGAATCCTAGTTGGTATTTACATGCAATAGAATGGAATATTCATTAGTCTAACGAGAAAACGCCGACCCTTACTTAATAGGTCATTCAAAGAGGAGAAAGTGGTTTTTGGGAAGAAGTTTGTGGGGCCCCTCCTTCGAGGGTGCCTAGATGGTGAAAGGTTATCCCTTTGCGATGATCGAAGCTAACAAAGCCAAAACCTAAACGGTAGCTTTGTATTCCAGACCTACAGTTTGTTTCTCGATATGTAATTGACATGACTAAAACACGCGAGGATACATGTTAATTCGCAACAAAATATTTTCTTTATGCGTTGGTAAAAATACATGCTTACATGAGGAAAAGGTCTGCAGTGGTCTATTTTATTTGCTAAATCACGAGTTTAAGGGGTTGTATGGGTCACTTTTGTGTAAAAATTATTTTCGGTAGCATTTTATTGGTCTCTGAGGCAAAGTCTAACTACTCTTTGGCACTTGTAACCTTCTTTATGTATTACCTAGCATGAGTAGCGCGGCTTCAGTAGCTTATCCGGATGAGTTGAGATGAAAAAATGAATTATTCTTGGTTGGGTCCCCCTTACCCAATGGTCAGCTTATGGTCAAATGCCTTATTCTTTGTTTACAAATACCAAGTCTGAATTAAGGAGGCAAGTAAATCCCCTGTTAATTATTGTCTGCAATGTCTGTACTTGTATTATTTTGATTTCTGATTCTTGCATAGTGAAACTACATTTATCTACTGTTCAACATTTATCAAGAATCTTCTAATTCATTGAATAATACATTATAGTTTCCTTGGTCTTGATATGAGCTATAAGTAAATATAGAGGAAAATATAGGTCGGTATATGAATGCCGGGTTCGTGCGGAAATGCGTTTCCTTTTCCTAGACTTTGTTGTTTCTCTTCTCGCATTGAGAAAAGTGACTTTGGAGTAGCAATGAAAGCTTGTACAAATTTTCATCGCTTCTATCTGTCTCCTTAACTTATAGATCCTAGGCAGCACAAGGATGCCTCATACTGCTTCATACTAATCCTTTTTTTCACTTCCCGGCTCTATATGGATGCACGGGTCGATCCACCTCTTCCCAGTTGGATCATATTTTTAAAGAGTGATGATGAACTTTTCTTTCATTTCATTGTTTCGTGTCTCACTGTTTCGAGCTTCAGTTTCAATCCACTTGCACAATTTGATGATATAGGAAGATAGGCTGCCTGAGGAGGTAAGTTTTTCATTTTCATCGCGTACTTCCTTTTTCTTGGATGTGGTTATGAATTGAATTCGAGTGCATCATTCCATGATATATACGCCGAAACATGGTACAACATGCTCTTGGGACGACCTTGAGCTTTGATGATCTCAAAAGCCTTCTTTCAAGAAAAGCTGCAATTTATTTGTATGGTGCAACTTTTCTCTTTGATGCACTCAACTCAGAGATAAACTGTTGTACGTTGTACGTTGAGTTATATGGATTTAGTGTTTTTTTTTTTTCATTTTTGTTAATTTTTATGAGGAAATTATTGGCTCAGTTGGGACGATATTGCATGAGCTGGGCTGCGCAGGGGACGGTGTCACGCTGATGATTTTTTCTTCATGTTGGGCCTGGCCCAACGCTCCCAGTTATGTAAAGTGGAAATTACACCTTTGATTTTATCAGATTTCTGGATTGTTGAAAAAAAAAAAAAAATCAATTATCAACAACACTGGGTAACGATTTGGGGATTCTAATTTGTAAAAACAATTGAACTAACAATGAGCTACATCAAACGAAACATAGACATGAACATTCTATGGAACAAGAAGATTTCACAATTTAGCCCATATTTGGCAACCGCTAAAACATATAACTATAAAATATTTTGCACGTAAACTCAAACTTTTTTTTTTCTATTTTTTAACCATATATTCTAAAAAAAGTCACTATTTCAAAACTCATTTTCTAAATTAAAAAGAAAAAAAAAAGAAGAGAGAGAGAGAGAGAGAGAGAGAGAGAGAGGAAACTCTTTTTAATGGTTGTCAAATAGGGGCTTAAATTAACAAATTAGATAACATTCGGTGTTAGAATTCGATCACAATCAATTGTGATAATTATTGTGATAATTCAAAGTAACATACGAAGTAAAATTTTTTAATGTCAAAATAAGTAGCTCTTGGGAATAGTTTGTAAAGATATGTGATAGTTGAAGGAGATTTTTAGATAAAAGAGTTTACTATTCACACACTTAATGAAAAAGGATTTTCAAATTGAGAAAATGGTTAGGATGTTGTAAATTAATTGAGATAATTTGTAGAATATTTTTTTTTAAAAGGTGATTATCTACTATAAATTAGTAATTTTGAAACATTCAAAAAAATCTAGTAATAAATAAAATTTGAAAAAAAAAAAAAATTGACCTAGTTCCCACTTAATAGTTCGTGGTCCAAGAACAAACCGCTCGATTTGTTTAAGCATGGTTCGATAAACGAGTTTTGACAATTGATTGTGATTGATTATTAGGCATCAATTAAGTGGAATTACAGGGAGGCAAGGATTTAAAATGTAATTAACAAGTTACGTTTGTACCTTTCACTATTATTGTGTAAAACGTTTATATCATTCATTTTTTTTTTTTTCATTTTCATTTTCACTCTTAATGACATATTTGATTCCGCAAAATGTCATTTCTGTCAATTTCCATCCAATTTTTCCATTAAGTGAAGGATATTCATGTCTTAAAACAAAATTCCTCTTTCTTTTCCATTTGAACCATTTTTTCCTCTATTTTTTTCTCGGAAAAATAATCATTTGACTTGGTCAGATTCAAGAGGGCTATGGCACATGCAAGAGGGAATTAATCTAGTTGTACAAACTAAACAAAGTTGTTTACAAACTAACCGATCTAGGCCATTAATTTCAAAAACATTTTTTTAAATGATTGATTTAGATGTTGTCAACACATAATTTGTAAACAAAGTTTGTCGACCTAGTTTGTACACATAGCTTGATTCTTCAAGAGGTGATATATGAAATTACAAGCAGTGTTCTGTGAAAATATATTTCAGATTAAAACCTCCGCAAGAATACTGTTCGTTAACAAGTAATAAGTGGATTTTGAGTCCAAGCATCGTCCCACAGAGATTGATTAGTTTAATTTTTATTACCATGACCTTAACCGAAACAATAAAATTGAAGTGTTGTTGTAATGAAATTTCAACTAAATTAATCTAATTATGCAAGGATGAATTATTTAACTAAACTAAATGCAAATAATGTTGAATGTAATTTGAAGTTTTCGAATGTATGATGAATGTATTAGGATCACGAATCCCTACTTAATAATATTTTTAAATCTAGTTTCACACTTTGACACACTATTGAAATATTGATGAATCAATACTCCTAATTTATTGAACGGTCTGTCTCAAGTAAAGTCAAACATATTCTCATATGTGACCCGACTATATCGCTATGACGAATGCGAATATACAAGAATGCATGAGTTTTTGTGAACACTTAATGATTCACATAGGGCATAACGGAATATATATCCCCTCTCGGACCCTATAATGATTTATACTCCGTCGAATCCACACTCACACAATTAATGTGCACAATAATCGTGGAGAAAATAAATCCATATAAATCATTCAAATAGTCAAAACGTGTTTTTATTGTCAAGAATGTAAAACTAAGGAATAAAAATCATATTACATAGTTCATCATTCCCTTGTACAGAATTAATCTAGCCTAGTATAATGGAAAGAAAAAAATTAGAAAAACAATGAAGAAACGACATCACCAATCGCATCGTGGTGTTGTTCTTTGAGTTATTGCTCATTTTCTCATTTCAAAACCCTTATGCATATGTCTTTTAGGTCAAAAGGTCTCCTCCCGTGTTCTGGTCGAGTTTGGTATATATATATAAGATACCTAAAATCTTGTTACCAAAGTAAAGTTTCAGTTAAAAAAGGAAACAAAATCTCACCAAAAGTTTGTACTATGCGGTCATATAGTACATTTATAAGTGGTCGCATAGAAGGACGTCCAACCATCAATTTTGGCCACGGGATGCATAATGATGTCGCATCAAATTAGACATATGTTGCCACATAGGTATACGTTTTTTCCCACCGGACAACCTTTAATATTTTGGTCATATCTTTCTCTCCCAATATCCGATTTAGGTAATTCAAACATAGGGGTCAACATCTGTAACTTAGAATTCTTAACAGCCTGAGTTCTCTCATGTGTGATCTATAAAATATCACAAACCTCTTTAACAACCTCACACATAGACAGATGCCTAAATTTTTCAGGTGATATGGTCATAAATAGAGCATGAAGCCATTTACTATTCCAATTACATTAATCTAAATCTTTCTTGGACTAAGTTGAAATATTAGTATGGGTAACTACACATGCAACTGTGGTAGATGGGGCAGTCCAACCATTCACTACGCTCAACCAAATACACTCATTTATCAATTTTAGGAAAGCTCTCATTCTAACTTTTCAATAGGCATAGTTACTGCCATCAAAATATGGCAGGACACACAATGAACTACTCATCTAAAAACCTAGGGTTAGGAATCAAATTTGGGCTCTAATACCATTTGAAAGTTACTAGTTCAACACCAAAATCACCTAATAGGTGAATATTGT